AAAGTATGTCAGGGACTTTCAGTCCAGTACTGAATGTTTGTCCAACTTGAAATACTTTTCTGATGTCTTTGCACATGAGCATGCAGATGAAATCGAGACGTGCAGAGGAATGCAGAATGACCAGAGTGGAAAACAGGCTCAAGAGAGTGACACAGTGGAATCCTCGATGGCTTTACACGTCAGTTTCAGTAGTTATGTCGCGCAAGAAAGCGGTGCGGTGATGAAGACCCTCAAGTGCATGAGTAACACATGAGAGTTCCTGTCATGCTCTAAGTCACTTCCAGGAATCGCATGAAAACAGTGAGCCCTCCAACACAGACACAAAGTGGGGAAAAGTAAAAGAAAAACAGGTAAAAGCGTGGACAGGTCAGAAAAAAATACCACCTGTAGACCAAAAGGAAAAGAATCAGACAGAGGCAGGAGGTAGAGGTCCATAATTTGTTAATTAGTTATGCGTCTAAGGCTGGCATCACTAAAACTACTGAATATAGGGTTTCTTTTAAATATTCAGGCTTAGAATTTTTGCCTGAGTGTTGACAAAATGGGTGAAAGAGTTTCACAAAAACGTAGGAGTGAGATTTTGAAATGGGCCAGTAAGCAACTACCCAAATCCCCCATCAACCACTTAACAACACCCTAACATCCACCCAGAACACATAGCAACCACTTAACAACACCTTAACATCCACCCAGAACACCTAGCAACCACTTAACAACACCTTAACTTCCACCCAGAACACCTAGCAATACCCCAACATCCACCCAGAACACCAAACGACCACTTAACAACATCCTAACATCCACCAGAACACCAAGCGACCACTTAAGAACATCCTAACATCCCCCCAGAACACCAAACGACCACTTAACAACATTCTAATATCCACCCAGAACACCTAGAAACCACTTAACAACATCCTAACATCCACCCAGAACACCAAGCGACCACTTAACAACACCTTAACATCCACCCAGAACACCTAGAGACCACTTAACAACACCCTAACATCCACCCAGAACACC